AAAAAAAAAAAAAAAAAAAAAAAAAAAAAAAAAAAAAAAAAAAGGTACTTTTACTACTTTGAATGAACAAACTAAAGAGAGAAGCTGACTGGTTACTATGCACAGCAGCTCCAGATACTGTCTGCTCCAGTTTTAAAAAATTCACACCATTGTGGTTAGCAACTGAAAAAAAATTAAAAATCCACACAACGTATGATACTCTTAGCAGAATCTGGTACATGAGCTACTCTCCTGCATTTGTGACACTTTCCACACACCAACGTCCAACTACAGCGGTGATTACATACTACTGTATCTTCCAGTTTTGTAGATGGGTATACACTACTACCGATTTAAAAACAGCCATACTTACTCTTCGCCCACAACTTGACAGCTCTCAGGGTTATTCTGAAATTATTTCTGTTTGGCACTAAATGCAAAATTTCATCTGTAACTCTGCAGCCTGGAAAATAAAAATTGCCATTAGAAGCCAAATTAAATATTCACACATGCGTTTTGGATATACCCCAACCCACTTCAATATTACACAGATGACCAACTTCCAGTTTTATAGGCTGTCCACATTCAACTTGACTGAGCTTGAGAAGATTTGCAAAGAAGAAATAGCAGAAAATTCCCCAATCCAAGTGTGCAAAGATTGTCGCGTCATACCCCAAAAAGACTCAAGGCTCTACTTGCTGCCAAAAGGTGCTTCAACAAAGTACTGCGTAAAGTTTCTGAATACTTAAGTACGTTTTTTTTCAGATTTTTCTTAATAAAAAACAAACATTTCTACAATTCTGTTTTCACTTTGCCATCATGGGCTACTGAGTGTAGATAAAATCAGATGGAATAATACTAATACTAAGGAAACTAATTTAACCACTTCAGGCAGGTTCACATACATACACAGCATCCTCCTGAAGCGGTTATACCAAAAACACAGCAGCGGCTCCAGCTATGTTTATGGTACCATTTTAAGCAGCCGGCGATGGCTGTTCAGGTACAAGCAATCAGGCGGCTGTAGAGCCACCAGATCGTTTGTACTTCGCGGCAAAGTGTGACCCAGCCTGTGCGGACCCAGGACCGGCACGTTGCCCATCCCAGCATTTATCGGAGGGAGATCAGCAAACTTCTAGCCGCAGTGTTTCCTAAAGCAAGAAGCGATTACTGATACATCAGCTTCTTTGGGGTTCCTAGATGACATTAGGGGTCTGACCGCTAATATCTCCATAAAGAGGTCACATAAAAACATATTTTTAAGTCCCCCGCCCCAACGTACATGCACACACACATGCAAACACTTGTGGAGTGCGACAAAAATTGTGCCACACGTTACATATCACTGCGAACATCAGACAGAGCAATAATTTTAGGGCCATCAATCACGGTTATCACTAAACTGATAAGCAGTAAAAGCTTTCAAAAGCGTCACCTATGGGAAATTTTGGCCATTGTGGTTTTGCAGGCACATGCAGTTTTAAGGCTTGACATGTTTGGTGTCAATTTACCTGATGTGACCCCATCTTTAATATTTTACCAATCAAGTATGTAATATATTCTGTTTCTGTGCACTAAATTCCATTTTAATGTATTTTATCCTAAAATACTAGTATGAGGAACAATTTTTTTTATACCGTGCCTCTGCTTTTAGAAAATATTTAATTGTTTGGGGGTTTTATGCCATTTTCTAGCCAAAATTTCATATTTTATCGTGTGCAAATAGTAAGAAATTGCTCTGGACAGCAAGTGGTTAAACTGTACTACAGTATAACAAAATTGAAAAAAGTGAAGTGAATACTTTCTGAATTTACTGTACACACACACACACACACCTCTGGGACTACATTGTAGTCATCTTATGACATGTACAGTTTTAATTTATTGCACCGACAGCCTGTGCAGATTTGCTATAAACATTTACATCACTAGTTTTTATAGGTCTTAAAAAGTGTATGTAAACCCTAAATATTTCCCCTCACGTTTGGCATCATGTTGCACTGTATACAGGTTTAACATAGTTTTTGTTAATCTGTGTTAAGTTTCTTACCTTTAGGATCTCAGCAGTAAAATAACTCCCTTTTACAGCAGGACAAGGCAGAGCTAGTTATTCACAATTATCAGCAATGTTGTAGGTCTTCTGCACTTAGTGACATTAAACCCTCAGATTTTTTTAACATAAAATACTGTAATGTGTGCCTTACTGTAATCCATGGTTGTTTCCCTTCTCTTTGCTGCTCTTCCTTTTAAATCTGTTCTCATGCTGGGCAGAACTTCTGTTTTGCAGCAGACTGCCTTGTCTCAGGAATGGATATATGGTGTCTGTGTATACGTTTGTATAGACTTGTAACCTGAGCCAGCACTACAGGAAGAGGCTCTGAGCTGCAAAGGGAAGTTCTCCCCAAGCATGAGAAGACATGAGGATTTTAAAGGAAGAGCAGCAAAGAGAAGGGAAACAACCATGGATTACAGTAAGGCACACATTACAGTATTGGTTTATGTTAAACAATCTGAGGGTTTAATGTCACTTTAATTTAGAGGTTGGGCTGCCCATCAGATAGGTAGCCCAATATCACTGTAATGTGTGCCTTACTGTAATCCATGGTTGTTTCCCTTCTCTTTGCTGCTCTTCCTTTTAAATCTGTTCTCATGCTGGGCAGAACTTCTGTTTTGCAGCAGACTGCCTTGTCTCAGGAATGGATATATGGTGTCTGTGTATACGTTTGTATAGACTTGTAACCTGAGCCAGCACTACAGGAAGAGGCTCTGAGCTGCAAAGGGAAGTTCTCCCCAAGCATGAGAAGACATGAGGATTTTAAAGGAAGAGCAGCAAAGAGAAGGGAAACAACCATGGATTACAGTAAGGCACACATTACAGTATTGGTTTATGTTAAACAATCTGAGGGTTTAATGTCACTTTAATTTAGAGGTTGGGCTGCCCATCAGATAGGTAGCCCAATATCCAACTAAAAGGAATACACATGGCACAATGACTGCTACTGCCAATTGCGAGCCAAATGCCAGAGCGCTGTCAGCTTGCAATAGGAAGATTACAGGCAGGTAAGAAACATCGTGAACGATTTAAAAGTGACAGATTACAGCTACTACAAAAGCAACATCAACAGAGCTCTATGAGAAGTTCACTTACCATTTAAACTCCTGATGCATCTTATATCTAGGTTTTTCAAACGTGAATCATCACGCAACTCCATATTATCAGGAATACATTGTAAGGGCAGCCTAGCAAAAACTAAGTCAATCTGAAGGGAAGAAAAAGACAAAAAAAATATATTTACAATCACAAGTCAAACAGCTGCAGTTGACCGCAAGATGAAGACTGAGAACCCATGTACAGCAAGATGCTTTACAGCAGTGTGCCTCAGCACTGTGACCCACATGCTGCTTCAAAGTTCAAGGGCAGAGTCTATGTACATGTAACCTGTCAGGGGATTGCTACTTCCAAAGGCTTCCAAGAAGGCCATTTAGCTGCATTATACTCTCCCTGCAGATCAGTACTAAGTCCAAAGAAAAGTATGCACTAGTTCACTAGGATACCACCCAAATTACCTGCATCCCAAGGTTAAGCTGACAACCGGTCCCAAGAAAAATGCAAGACATATCAGGACACTATCAGAACTTACACATAACCACAGAGGACTACTGCAGTACTATCAGAAGTCTTGGACTGATCATGAAATTGGTAAAAGATACAATGGGGGAATTTATCATAACTGGAGCAGAGAGAATCTGGAGCAGTTTCCCAGGGCAACCAATCAGCATCCTTCTTCAGTTTGCTCAGGTACGATTTAAAAATGTGTGAGAAGCCGATTGGCTGCAGGGCAAATCTGCCCCAGATTTGGTCTCCTCCAGTTTTGATAAATTCCCCCCACAGTACAAAAAAACAAACATTTTGGCTTTTAAGACTAGGTTATGGGAAGGCTACAACCACTAGCAAATAAACATTATGCTCTTTGTCTGTCCCACTAGAAGATTTCATTTTACTTCCTCCTCTGAGAAAACATCTCCAAAAAGAAAAACCAGAATTGATGGGAATGGTCAGAAATATTTGTCCCCAGTGGAGGATTTTCCCCTCATCTATTGCTTTGATAACAACTCAGAATATTTCGATGTCCCAGCAATTTCTGTTTTGTGGATCATGGTAACCATAAACAGATGCATGAACGACCCCCAGTGGGGACACAGACAGAAATAGAAACCCAATAACGGTTGCTATATAAACCTTTTTGTTTTTTTAATTACTTATCCTACCTCCCCCTTCCAAAAAAATAAATGGCATAAGTACCTTCCTTATTTTGCACAGGCACATTGTACTTGTTTACCAGAATAGGCCTGTTGACCAGGAATATAATGAAGCACATTGGCTCCTGCAAGATACAGAAGGTGGTGTCTGATTAAATGCTAAGGAATCCCTGCACACCTGCAGATCTGTAAACCAAGCCCCATAATGCAGGAGCACCCATATTATTGGTTAGTTACGATCACGTGCAGTACTAGAAAATCACTCCTAGCATACAAGGAAGCCTAGAATATAAATATCAGAAGAAAAGTGCAAAGTAAATAAAACAGCAATCTAGAAATAAATGGAATGATCATCTGATGTTAAGCAACACTCATTTACAGATTTATAAAATACCTTACGTAAGGCCTCATACCTCTATCTTCAAGAAATCAAATTTGATAACGGGTACAAAAGCATCCTCCACAGCCTAAAGAACAAAAACAAATATAAACTTGCATGTAATAAAATGTGACTAACAATTCAATGTTTCTTCACATTTATTATTCTTTGTACAGCAAGTAAGCTATAGCTCACTGTGGGCAGCACAATGGCGTAGTGGTTAGCACTTCTACTATGCAGCACTGGGAATCCCAGCCAGGTCACTATCTGCAAGGAGTTTGCACATTCACCCTGTGCAGGTTTCCTTCGGGTACTCTGGTTTCCTCCCACACTCCAAAGACATGCTGGAAGGTTAATTGGCTCCTGTCTAAATTGGCCCTCCATGTATGCATAGGTACCTTACCCAGTAAGCTCCTTGAGGGCAGGAACTGATGTGAATGTGCTGCATAAACTTGTCATTGCTATATAAAATACCAATAATAAATGTCCCAATTCTAGCTAGGTGCAGGATATGTTTCTCTCACGTACATAGAAACTACATTTGTCCATTGGGCGGTGTAAATAAGCCAAGTCTTTGGTCAAAATCCAGAGTTAGACTTACCGGTAACCATTTCCAGTAGTCTTCCAGGACAGCATTGTTAGAGATAAAGGCTCCTCCCCAAACCACAGGAAACACGTCACCCATCCATCCAACTTTAAGTCCAACTTAGCATTTCCCATAGTCATGTTCCAGGACAACATTGCAAGAGGATAAATAAGAACTTACCAATACTTTAGTCGAAGGGTACTTCAAACAGTAGTCTTGCCCTAAGGTTTGATCCCCAGAAGAATTGAGGTCCAACCGGTAATGTTGAACGAAGGTAGAGAAGCTCGACCACATGGGAGCTTTGCAAATTTGTTCTAGGGTAGCACCAGTTTCTCTCAGCCCAAGAAGTCACTAAGGCTCTAGTATAATGCACATTCACGAAAGGAGAAGGCACCTTCATAGCACTGTAAGCTTCCCCAATAGACTTCCTAGAGGACTTCGAAAACCTGCTTGCCTTTGGACTTTCCAGAAGAAAAAAAAAAGACAAATAAGGCATCCGATTTCCTAAAATCTTTAGACACCTTAAAGAATATCCTAGGGGCTGAAGACAGCCTGAAAGGGAGAGCCCTGAATTGATATTGGTGAATTACTGGCCCTATACTTACAGCAAATCTGAGAAATTGTTGAAAGGCGGGGAGGATGGGGATGTGAAGATAGGCATCTCAAGTCCAGAGTTGCCATATAGGATCTGGGCTACAGGATGTTCGACTGAAAAAATAGATTCGATCCTGAATCTCTTGTACTTCACTACGACGTTCAAGGGCTTTAGGTTGAGGATTAATCAAAACTTCCCCAAAGGTTTTTGTTCTATAAAAAAGGTGTGCGTAAAAACTCTGACCCATCTCCTGCTTAAGGACCAGAGTGTGAACCCACTGATCTACCAACACCCCTAAAGAGACAGTGAGCCTCTGCTTTGACGGAATGTTTTGGAAAATCTGTTGCGGGAAAACGCCAGGGAGGAAGACTGTTGAACCCCAACCTGTAGCCCTTTCATCAGATTCAGGATGAATTTATTGGAGGTAATCTCCACCCAGCATGGAGGAATCCCCCTAAGCTTCCTCCCACTGGAAGAAGACAGTCATTGCTGCTTTGAGGGAGGACTAAAAGAGAACCCTCCCCCCCGAAAAAACCTGCAGAAGGGCGTTCTAGAACGCTCTTATTCAGGTACAAAAAGCAGATCACCTGAAAAGGGGAGCTTACATAACGGAAGTTTGGAAGCAAAAGTCGCCCTCCCAAGCTTTCAGCCATAAGGCCCGACAAGAGAAGTTAATTTGCACTAATGACCTAGCGGTCATCCGAACGGGTTCAGCAGAGGCATCTGCAATAAATCCAACAGCCTTAAAAAAGAACTGAAAGAGTCCAAGAGCTGTTCCCTGGGGGTTGCAGCTAACAAATGCGATTTCAATTGGGATAGCCAGAACAAGATTTTTAGCCACACAAGTAGTATCTAAAGCTAGCTTAAGGTTCACTATAGAAGAATCCCAAGCCGTTTTGAGCGAGATCGCCATCTTTTTATCCTTGGGATCCCCAAGAACCCCCATGTCCTCAAAAGCCGAGTCTGATTTCTTGGAGAACCTGGCCAAAGGGGCATCTTATTCCAAACTAATGCAGGGTCATCAAACGGAATTCTCCGCTTAAGGTTGTTAGATGAGACTTCTTCTCCGGGTCTGCCCACTCCCTAAGAATTGCCCCTGAAAGCACCTTATGCACAGGAAAAAAAACTTCTTTTGTTGTAGCCCTTCATACAAAAGACCGTGTCTAGAAAGCTGAACACGTTTTTCCTGAACTTCCAAGGTATCATAAATGGCACTGAATAAGTCATCTACAGCGACCAGAGATAAAACATCTGGAAGCTTCAGAGACGTCAACCTGGGTACCCAATTCCTCTGATGAATTATTGGAGGGACCTAGCTCACTCAGATCTTCCCGCTCCGACACTCCTAAAGTTCCTTCAGACTAATTGAAGACCCACAGGTCTGGGCAACAACAAGGGACAGGACTGGGTCTTGAAACCTTCTAATAGAGATCTACATGATTTGAAAGTGGAAGATAATTCCTCTTTAATTGAAGAAAGATTACTGCATGCTGAAGCAGATTCTTCTTTAAATAAATAGACCCTCAATACACTTTCGGCACAAAGCCTTAGAATAAATTAGTGCCAAGTTTGACTGAACAAACAGCGCACTTCTTGGAAGCCTTCGTTGTATCCGAAGCCTTAGGCTGCCAAAAAAGAGTGCCCACAGGGGAAAAAAAACCACAACCCAATGCCCCTTCCAAAATCCCGCCAAACACCCAGGTCAAGAGTGCCACTTAACACCTGCGTCCTGCACCAAGGTGGAGAAGAGGGTCAGAGGTGAAAGGCAGGTAAGTTTTTTTTTTTTAAATCAAAAAACACTATACCCGAGCTGGGCTGGTGCCAGAGGGACCCGCGTCTGCTGCGACCAAAGTTTATCTAGAAGACTTGTCCGCACACCATTCTGCTTCATATTCCTTCAGCGTGACATGTGAATGCAATGTTTGAGCCTCACAGGACCTCCTGCTGCGGCCAAAGATTGCAGAGGTTGCGCAGAGTCCATTTGCGGAGCGTGCCGAGATGAGGACAGAATCGCCGGTGGCCTGGCAGTCCCCTTCCTCCAGCGCCAGAGTAAGGCCTAGAACGCAAGGCCTTGGCACCTGGAACGGACGTCACTCGCATCAGAAGGGACGGACCCGGTCTGGCCGTGGAGCGGTGCAAATCCACTTTGATGGGCGGACGCTCGTTTCCAAGGGCCCAGCCAAGGGAGGTCAGCTCCGGTCCTTGCCCTCGCTGGGCACAGAGAATGCTGAGCCAGTGAACCCCCTTTCGACTGCCTAGGAGGAATACTTGAGGCCACAACCATGGAGGAAAGCACCCGCACCCACACAAACATAGCTAGGTGGGTTGAAAACTTGAGGGAAGCACCAAGCAGAATTGCACGATAGAGGCTCCCCCAGCATTCCAGTGACTGCTCCCCCAGCTGACCAAGGAAACACAAAAGGACTGGAGAAGAGGCAGGCCTTTAAAAATCTAAAATGGGCAATGTGTTTCCTGTGGTTTGGGAAGGAGACTTCATCTCACAATGCTGTCCTGGAAGACTGGGAAAAATGCTCACACACCGTAAAGATTTATCCTTGAAACCTATAGATTTCTTTTTTTAATCTAAGACCCACGTCACACTAGAGAACCAGTCGCTAGCGAGAACTGCAGATCGCTAAGAAATCTGCATGGAAAAACTCACCTGTCTGTACGTCTTGCCCCCTCACTAACCATAATGCTACATAAAGTAAACTTCAAGCAGGAGAGTGGCACTTCACACATTCAGCTAGCAAAAGAGTGACACGTACAAGCAGGTGAACGTTTTACTGAGATAAGTATGGATGCGGACATTGCCGATTTAAAAATGCTAGTTGCCTGGCTGCCATGCTAATCTATTGGCATCTGTGTCAGTCTGTTTTTTTAAATCCATCTTGCAATGGAGGAAAAGAACTAAAACTGCCGGACCCCATGTCAGTCAATGGGGAATCGGATGTAAGCGTACATGTGTCCGTTTACATTAGATTACCCCTGATCTGGCACGATCAGGTCCGGCAAAACTCTGATCGTTTTTTTTTTCTGGACCTGGCTGGAGTCAGGGGTAACCAGATTTAAATGGACAGGCATCTGATCAAGTCTGCTTGAAAAACTGACAGCCGGACCCGGGGGTTAGTGCCACTTTAGGATAGTTTTATTATAGGTTACTTGTTTTTGTGACGAACACAACAAGATAATTTAATTTAACCCCTTCGTGACTGACGACGTACAGTGTACGTCGCCAGCATCGGGGCTGTTTAAACAGACTCCCGGCGACTTTTGCCGCCGAGAGTCTGTTTAAACTTGTAGAGCCGACTGTCGGCTTTACAACAGAAGCGATCCTACAAAGTAACCTTTGGGCGCCATCTAACAAACCACCTATGACCACTATAAACTTCTGCCTTACCCATGACGCTAATGCATTTGACTAAAATGGCCGATTTTCACTACAATCTCGATTCATTTTGCTCACCCATGATGTATAAAAGCCAAAGTGTAATGAAACCTGGAGCAGTTACACACAGATCCAGATTCTGTTTAATACCCCATAGAGCAACAGCACTGTCATTCCATTTCTCTTAAAAATCAGCCATTAAAAAAGAGAACTATGAGGTGAGTGCTTTTCACTCATCCTCACAGTTCTAGCCAACCTCTGACAATGAAACTGTCACAGGTCGGCTCAGTAGATCGGGAAGTGAGCGAACACATACCGGCGTTCGCTCACTTCTGGATCCCGTCACTGCTGGACAGGGGAGGGGGCGGGCATAACTGGCTCTGCCTCTAGATAGGCAGAGCCAGGGGTTTGGGTGGAGCGCGGTTGGGGTCAGCAGAGCCTGGGGTAGCCGGTGGCGGCAGCGGTGAGGTCACGCACTGCGCTCAGTACAAACGCTCAGACTGCTGTACAGCTGCCGGATTGTTTGTACCTGAACAGCCAATCAAGTCTCTCTGTTCTGAGACTGAACTGACTGACTTCTGAACCTTTACTACCTTATACCCCAATAGGGGTGGTATTGAAACAGAGGGCTGAACGGAACAAAGTCATCAGATCTTGCATTCACATACCCGGACATTCCTTATCCCATCCTGGAGCTTTAGTTTTTCAACAAATGACTGAAAGAAATCTGTTCGCTCAACATGCCTTGGAGCAACACACAGAGCATCAATATCAGACCCTTTAAAAAAACAAAACAAATGCCAGTTATTATAAACGTCAATATGTATAGAATACACAATTGACAGGAGCAGATGACAAACCTTTAGTATGAACTCCAAGCCGATAAGATCCAAATGTGAAGATTTTGCCTCCAACAGAGGATATTACAGTGGTTGGAAGGCTCTGTCAGAAAAAGAAATGGTTAATTGTTATAGTTTTACCAAGTAAAGGATGATGGACCATAATACAATTGCTGTTAAAAACCATGAAATCATATATTGATGTATGTGAACCTAAATGATTGATTTTCTATATTTTAATCTATCCAAGTTTGGAAATGCCATTTAAACTATACTAGTGACTAAGTTACAAATGGTAATCAATCAGTAAGCCCGACAGGCAGACCCTAAGTATAGTTTGAAACAGTTGTTAGGTATGCCCAAAATAGGATTGAAAGAAAACACATGACTCAGGACAAAGAATATGGAACTCCCTTATGCTAATGTGAATTACTTTTAAGGTAAACAGCCTAAAGGTTATTTTAAAGTAAGAGCATAGATATAAAGGGCGGAGGGGATCATCCTTCAAGAGGACACAGCGACACACACAGACACACACACACCTGTTGGGACTATTTTACTTACAAACTAAAGACACGTTTCTTAAACATCTTAGACTCATGCTGTAAGATATACTATATTTTGTAATCAAGCATCTTATAGACTCATTCTGTAAGATATGCCATATCTTGTAATTATTTGTAACTTTGCAATTAAACACATTTTTGAATTTTATGCAAGAACGGAAGCAATCTTCTCTTCTTCCACCCTATGCTACAAGAAAAGAATATGACTAGGGCTGTTACTGATTAAAATTTTCGTGCTCAATTAATCGAAAAAAATTTTAATCGATTAATTTCAATTAATTATAAAACGCACATACAGATCCAACTACATTGGCCTATACACATACAGCACAGCAATGAAGTAATAAAATGAACTAGGATCACACTAATCCAGCACGTTATTAATCTCACGTTCCCCACTCAATATGGCAACCGATTGAGTGGGGCAACTCAGAATAATAACGTGCTGGATTAGTGTGATCCTAGTTCATTTTATTACTTCATTGCTGCGCTGTATGTGTATAGGCCAATGCCTTGGAGTTTGGTCCACACATGTGGGCACACTGACCAGCTGGGAAGATTGTAGAAGAAAAGTTCGATGTCAATTGGCAGGCTGCACAGTGATGCTCCCTTTACATGCAAGTAGAGCTGCAACTAGGGCTGCAACAACTAATTGACATAATCGATTATAATCGATTATTGAAAAAGTTGTCAACTTACTTCTCTTCTTGCTGCGAGCTTCCTCACTCGCCGCTGGCCCGCCGACAATCGATCTGAAAGCAAGTCCGGACCCATTATACTGTACCCCCACACCCGCTAGGGAACTACAAATCCAAGCATGCCACCATTGAGATTGAGAACACAAAGTCCTCTCTTTTTCTGTATCCCCTGTTATCAATGAACAGGAATCCTTTATGAGTGCTCCTGTTCATTGATAACATAGTATGTTTACTATAACTACAATTATGAATGAACAGGAGGAGATGTAGATCACTCCCATTCATTATTGAAGATATAGTAAACATACCATGTCCTCAATTATGTACAAACACTCAGCGATCACTGATGACTGACTGCTTGTACCCGCTCTCCTCTCTCACACACTGTCACAGGATGCTGAGGGAGCAGGGAGGAGAGCCCAGCCTCCTGTGACAGCGCGGCCTGTCTCCACCCCTACACCGCTCTGCGGGACTGTGATAGGTGGCTGAGCGGTGTGGGAGGAGAGACGCCGGCCGCTCACAGCGCTTGGCCGGCTGTCATTTTCTCTCCTCCCCACTGGGACAGAGTAGCGTCCAGTGGGGAGAAAGTAATCACGGATGCGCCGATTTAGCGGCAGGAAAATGGCACTTCGGCATTTAGCCAAAAGTGCAATTTTCAGCCGCCCCCCCCCCCTCAGCCCTGCGCCTGGGGCAAGTGCACCTGCTGCCCCCCCGGTTGTTACGCCACTGACCAGAACACACACACAGACACGTCGGTGGTATTCTGCATTGTGCCACTGTATTATACAATGCAGAAGACCAGCAGAGTAAAATCAAATCCCAGCAATACAATAAGCAGCCTGTATAATGTATTATTGCTGGGATTTGTAGTTCCTCTATAAAACTAGTCAGTGGTATTCTGCATTGCGCCGTATAATCATACAGCGCAATAGAGAATACCACCAGCTATAGAGGACTACAAATCCCAGCAATAGTGCATTATAAGGACTATTGCTGGTATTTGTTGTATTCCTACATAGCTGCTGGTATTCAGCATTGCGCCGTATAATCATTATACAGCGCACTGCAGAATACCACCAGCTATAGAGGACTACAAATACCAGCAATAAATTATACAGCGCAATGCAGAATTGTGGGTTGGAGTCCGGTGACGTCACGGACATAGACGTCACTGGACTCCTTCCCCCTTCCCTTCGTTAGCCGACGGAGCCACTTGGGGAAGGGGGGAGGAATCCGGTGACGTCAATGTCCATGACGTCACCGGATATCCGACGGGACTCCCGGAAGCCGGCGGAGAGGAGTATTTTCATTAGCGAGCAATAAATGTTTTAATCGATCAAAAAGATTAACGAATAATCGAGAAATTAATAGTCAATTTCCGCAGACCTAAATGACACAAAAAAAAAAATCATATTTCTAACAATTGTCAAAACTCAGTCATCACTGGCATCCAAGAACTACCAATCAAAATAACAAGAACATTGGTAAAAGACTTTACAACAGAATATAGAACGAAAAACATTTTCTTCTTATCGAACAAGGAGTGTGAATAGGCAGTACACAGGAGCTCTGGCAAATATAGTCAATTTGACAATCACACCTGCACATACATTATAGTAGAACTGAATCCAAAGCCTTTTTGATTATATTCTGGATATGGTTGGGGATTTTATAACCCATCAGCTTTTTCTGCCATCTGTGTCCCATGAGGGAGGTTTCCCTTCACTTCATGTTCACTAGATAGAAGAGAAAGGAAATCCCTCCAAAATAAAGTTAATGGGGGGGGGGGGGATTTTCATTCACTTACAGTGATAAGTCACCAGGACAAATAGTGTGAATCTCCAGGAACACAAACAGCGATACAAATCCCTTTCCAGTCACCATAAAAGCTGGATCATATGAGTAAAAGACTAAGCCAGAAAAATGTTGTGCTGATGAGATCTATGTAGGAGCTCAGTGCTGCCACCCCAGTGACTCACTCCTTTCCAGACAGTACAATGTCCAGGAGGAGAATAAACAGCAATAAAACAGGTTCTACCAAAAACAACATCATTTTATAGTGTACGTGCACACATATAAAATACACCCATTTAATCTGGTTATACATTTTAAAATGATTTAAGTGCATTTTTTAACTGGCCTATGTTTGTATAGCATCCTGAAATACCCTGCATGTCAGACTAGTAAAGGACAGGGAGCTCTGTAAACCAATCAGGCTTCGCTGAAATGTACACATTGTGAATGTAGCCGATGGAGAGCAAAGTGATGACCACGTCGGTGATCTGCTCTTCCTTCACTAACCAATTGCAGGCTTGGTCAAGCTGAAATACATTGACTACAGTACAATACTGGTCAATATTTGGTATAGTGTTTGGCAGAAGTGTCTACCAGAAGAGGAATACTCATTTTGTGGTGGGTAGGACGGTTCACCGTACACGGTTAAACTGCCCATTTCTATAGACAAACTTGAACCTTTAAAAGGCTCTTCTAGATTACCGTATTTGCCGGGGTATAAGGCGACTGGGCGTATAAGACGGCCCCCTAATTTTTCAGTTAAAACATAGGTTTTGGGCTATACTCGTCATTCAAGACGAGTATAGCCAAAATAATGTTTAAATACACCCACTAACCTGTCAGCCCACTGGATGTGCGGTAATACTGTATGCACTGTAGTTTCAGCAACATACAGTATACCGCGCTGAGCGATCTATTCTATGAATACAAAGCCTGCTCGGATTGGCAGAGGTTGAGTACATTGCTCGCCGTGATTGGCTCAGCGCGGTATTCTATATGTAGCCGAAGCTACGGTACATACAGTATTACCGCACATCCGGCGGACCAACAGATTAGACTGTATAACCGGCGTATAAGACGACCTCCGATTTTCGGGGGATGTTTTTAAGCATAAAAAGTCGTCTTATACGCCGGCAAACACGGTATTTTGACATTAACATGGTTACAGTTACCTTAATTTCTCCCAGCTCAGCAATCCATTCTTTGACCAAGTTGTTCAGTTTGCCCAATACAAACATTCTGAAATGGAAAAGAAAAGATGCAATTATAGTTCTGCAGAACTCACCATACAAGGCTTTGTGCTCCCAATGGCTACAAAACAGAACAATTTACAAGCTGCCTGTTTGGACCATTTGGGCTTGAAGTCTAACCTGTGACTGAGCTCCTCATCGTCTTCAAATACTCCAAAAGGCTGCATGGCCTCAACCAGCTTCTCGGTGTAGATGTGATCGATTTCTTTGGGACCAGCCCAACTGATAGGGGAGGTGATGCCATAACATTTCTGAGTTTGGACCTCTAGGTGGTCATTCCTGTCAAAGAGAAAGAATATAGAACTTTAGAGCCAGAGTCAGCTATGTGCACCCCTTCCCCTTGTCTGTCCCTCCAATGAGCGCTGGAGGAACAGAGGGGAATCCCTGCAGGGTGTGATGACTGACAGTCACCGCTCTCATCAGGGAGAAGAGACTGTGATAATATAATAATCATAATTTACTACCCTAATACTTCTTTAATATCTATAGACAGCTTTACATAAAGATCTTTTAGGGTGCGTTCACACCAAAATTGGAGGAAAACAGCAAATCAACAGGGACTCTGTTGTCTTGAAAAACAGATCGCAGCGCAATGGGTTAGAAGGTACAACTGCAAGTCAACAGACCCTCCATCGACTTGCAATTTCCTTCCGATCTGCTGAGATAAGTTTTTCAAACAGATGCCAACGGAAGGGAACTGAAAAATGAACAGTTGAAAGTGTGGCTTGTTCACACCTGATCAGTCGTGTTACGCTACTAGCCCCATTTACACCCAGTCATTTTTCAGTGCCCTTCCATTAGCATCCATTGAAAAAAGGATCACAACGGATCCAGTGTGAATTGCCCCATAAAGCACCTTCCCCTTATTGTGATCAGTTTTAGGCAAGCCTAAATGTACATTATAATATGAAGCACACATGCATGCTGTGCTACCATTTTGAAAGCGATCAAAACATTATGTTAATTGATACACACACACGGCCATTTACATGTGGCTATTTCTGTCAGCAGTGCAGCTCTGGAAACCACATTATCGTTGGTTTCAATGGGTGGCTAGCAGAAAGTGTTGGGAGCTTAAACTGAAGATAAATAACTATTCCCACATCCATGGCACCCCATCAATGTAAAGATTATTATTATTATACAGGATTTATATAGCGCCAACAGTTTGCGCAGCGCTTTACAATATAAGGAAGACATTAAAGTCACAATACAATTCAAGACAAGATGGTAAGGAGGGCCCTGCCCCTGGGGGCTTACAATCTAAAAGAAGGGAGAAGTGATACATGAGGGAGGTGAAGATCTCATTTGGGGTAACTTTCAAATATGTATTCATTAAAATTTACAAACGGCCAAAACTTGTTTTTCTTTTTGAGTGAGAACGAGTTAGAATGTGTGAGGTTTTTAGCTCTGTGTTCTGTTGGAAAAATCCAAACTTTTGAACAGCCAGACTGGAATAGAGGGGAAATCTTCCAATGGAGAAACTTTGTGAAAACTGTCTAAGGCCTCATTCACACTTTGACATTTAGGATTGTTGCCGCAGGAATCCCGACATCTGTGTTTCTGTATTCTGCCGGCCGCTGTCAGTAGGAATGCACCGATACTGGTTTCTCGGTATGGAGTTCTGATATATATTTTTTTTAAATCAGTATTCGCCAATACCAAGTACCCACACCGGCATCCCAAGGTAGCGTGGGCCTGACTTCTCGGCCAATCAGGAAGCCTTATTGCCTGGGAAGGCAGCTTTACACTCCCTCACGACACTGTAGGGCAGCCTGGCTTTCTGACCAATCAGGAAGCAGGATGGGACCTGCAGCCCAGTTTCCTGATTGGTCAGGAAACCAGGCTGCCCCACAGTGAAGTTAGGCAGTGTGAAACGGGCTTCCTAGCCAATCAGGAAGCCAGCTTCACGCTGCCTAGCGACACTGCCGCTCATGGTGAAGCTCAATCAATATCAGAGCATTTGGGTGAGTATGAGTACTTGCCCAAATGCTCGGTATCAGCCCCAATACCGATACTAGTATCAGTGCATCCCTAGCAGTCAGAATACCTGAACAGAGCTGGCAGCTCAGTGGCTGCCATCTCCATTTCTACATAGATTTTCTGACATGCTCTCTTGATCAGCTGATGGGAGGGATGCCGGCCAGACAGCTGCACCCACTGTGCAAATTTTGGTCAGTTCCTCAAGAACCGGCTGACATTTGCAGTGTTTATTATTGGCAAAATTAACCAATAATTTTAAAAAATAGTGAATATCGCTCCTGATAAAATCGGTCACCCCCCTACCTTAGGTGACCCCCTACTTTAAACTATTGCAGTGGAGGGGGGAGGAGAGTCTTCAGGGCCTGGTCTAAGAAGAAGCCAGCTCAGAGCTTACTGGAGTTCTTAACATTTGAAGGGCACAGCAAACACCTCCCACCCATAATGTGACCGCGCAGAGCTGCAATACAATGGGTTGCAGCTATATAAAAATACATGTACTCCTTTTATCAACTGCACAGCATTGCAGTACCTATTGCAAGCACGGTCAATCGCATTGCAGACGGGAGGTGCGTTTGGGGTGCCATTCAAATGAATGGCAACACAATACACCCCGACTGTGCGTTGCATGGAACTGTGCGAGTAACGCACATCCCTGGTGTGACCGGGCCCCTAATGTTCATCCGCTGTCTATGTTCTACATACAGTATTAAAGCCATTTATTGTCCCAGATGTAGATGTGAGGGAGCAGGGGTAACGATGTAATTACACCATGGTGATGAT